AACAAATCAAAAATAAAGAAGAATTTTACTACTCCACTCGTTTACCGGTTTTTGCATGAAGCCGGTCACAATTCCGAAAAGGAATCAGCACTGTTAGAAGTGACGTTTGGCTTGGGAGCCCAACTGAAACTTAGCCCACTTAAAGTTAACCCAACAAGCGAAATCCGACTGTACCTGTGTCTGAGACGAAACTGGTGAAGGCAATTTTCGTTTTCTCTTGTTTTTGGTTTTTGACTACTTCTGTGTTTTCTATATGCGGGTGGCCCGAATGGCAGTTTAATATTTCAAATATAAGCTTTGTATAGAAATTTAAAATTTCCCAGCTGCTTATAATTCAAACATTTCCTCACCTACAAATGAACCGACAAGTGGATATTAAATATTTATACTACAACAATTTTCGTTGTAAAATCTACATACAGTAAGCCCTTCCTACCTCCATACCCTTCCTCCCCGCCATCTGTCTAACAACTTATATGAGATTGAGCAAATGTTTTTGAATAATTCATCCTGAACATACCAAATCGATAAAATAAGAAACTCCGAAGTTATTTCAAACTGAAACTATTGTTATGAGTGAGGACCCCCCCCCCCCCCTCCTCTCCAACTACACATATGATATAGAGCAATTGTTTTTGAATAATTCATCTCAACATACCAAATCGGAAAGATAAGAAACTAAGAAACTAAGATATTATTTCAGTTTGGAATCTGACTTCCATTAGTACACTGGCAGTGTGGGTAGAAAAAGCGATTTTTTTTGTTTAATGCAAACCATAAATATTTGAATATCTATAACTTTTTTTATATACATTCAAGCACCGTACTTTCTTTGATAAAATTGTTAGGTACTTCTTGGACTATATTTGAACATAATTAGTTGCATGGTTTATGCAAAATTGTGGTCTCTAGGGATAAAAATGCAAAAATATTTGTTTTCCCTTACTAATTTCCAAATAAATTTCAAACGCAATGCGGAAAGTCGAGTTACAACCAATCGCCCCCAAATTTTGCACAGTTGTTTGGGACCCCACCGGAGGAAAGGCTCCTCCTGAAATCGCCCAGGACTTCAAGACCGATCTGCGCTTCCAGAGTTCGGCCGTTGCAGGAGTCCAGCAAAGCCATCTGGTCGATCTGTTCGAAGATACCAACCTACGTGCCGTCAAGCGTGTCACAATTATGCCAAAGGACATTCAGCTGGCTCGTCGTATTCGTGGTGAACGCTCTTAATTTCTCCGTCGAAATCTAACAAAACTGGCCCTTTTCAGAGCCATTGAAAGATTCCACAAGAGAGTTGGGAAGGAAATTTCAGCTGCTTTCACTGATCGCATCATAGTGAATCCTGATCTTAAAATTGCAACCAGCAAGTACCCTAGAACCAAAAGCGGTGCGATGCTAGTTTTCATTGCTGTGACGACGACTGTAAGGAGCTTAGAAGCAGAAGGATGAAAGCCGATTCTCTATCGATTTCCTCTTTTGTGATCACCATGGCTTCACTTACCTATTTCGCACTATTTCTGCTATTCTCTTCTATCATCCACAACAACAATGCACACTTAGAAATAACTAGTTTTACACGAGACGTAATCCATATTGGAGGCAAATTATAGAATGTAAACAAACATTTCATGTAAAATTAAGTGTTCTCAAACCTCAACATCAGCTAGTCGACGAAGAAAACGTTTGATTGAATTGATTTTCACGTTTCTTTCAACTGATTCTTATGTCAAAAGGCCCGCTTACATGTCTCAGGGAACCGAATTTTACATGACTTTTTAGTAGTGTGTGGTATCAATGAATGTTGGCCGTCGAGTTAACGTTATCCGACTTTCTTAGTTGCTCCTCCGTGAATAATCAGAACTTATCAACTTGCACAGTGCGGTTGTTACTAGAGACCGAGAATTCCTCAACATCTCCACGGCTGTCTCGGGAAGGATAGTTGTGTTAGTGAGGTAGGTTATTTTTAGATCAGGATTCATGTGGTAAGTGATGCGTTCGGTTAAAGCAGAATTTGTTTTTATTTAAATCTAGTTGGGATAGGATAAGGCAAAGTGAAAAATTGCAAGGATGGGGACGGGTCTGGGATTGAACCCCGACCTTCTGCTCAGTAAGCAGAAACGGTAACCATTGAGCTACTGGGCCTCGTCGTAATGCTACATGGACATGTTTCGTCTAGGAATGATTATCTGATGACTGTGTTTGGAAAGCAGCATAAGCATGTACGTAATTGATGGATTTAATAATTAATTCGACGCTTATGGACAATGCTGGACATTTACAACTTTTTCAATAGTTTCTTGTAGAAAATCAACAATCGGAAGCATTTCTATCGTCACGTAGAAATATTGCTGATCGATTGGTGATAATTTTTTTTAAATTGGACCAGGGGCAGCTGAGTTATTAACGTTCAAAATCTTTCACAATTTTGTTTCATGTTCCATTTTCGGTTTTCACAAAGTGTGCCCCCATATAGAAATCACAGACGTAGTCCTACCTCAAAATATAGATAGAGAAAGCCGATTAAACGTCATAAAGAAAAGAATTTTCAATCTTGAAACAATTCACGCTAAAAAAGTTGAAAATAGTAACTGATTACAAGAAAAAGTGATTTTAGTGAGTTGGCCTTATAAAAAGAGACTTTTCAGTGACTGGCTTGAAAAAAGTGCCGAAGTCAATAAGAAGTGACTCGCTACCAGCCCTGCGTCGGTCTCTGTTCCGCAATTTAGTTCTTATCACCGACGGACATCGATTGCCATTCATTGCTAGGGGCATTTAGGCCGACATTACAGCCATTTCCCCTATATTTTTTATTTAAATCTAAAATCAGAATATCGTAATAATCAATTCCTACGCTCAACTCCGGATTCCAAACCATGCCTCCACTTATGCCATCAAACTCCAATGAGAATAATACAAACTCATCAAGCAGCTTCTCCGGCCATTTGTCTGCATCTGACTTCCCAAGAAGCAGGCAGCAGCGATTTGCATTTCTGTGGCGCCTTCCGTGGGCCGTGGATCGTAGGTCCCTCCAGACACCACTCATTCATCAACTGCGCCGGGGACATGTCAAAAATGAAAAACACAAGCTAAGACTGTAGCGAGAAAAGTTTGCCACCAAACCGCCACGTATCGATGATCGTATGCCGGGGATCCAGTTTGCCCGCAGGGCGGCCGTTTCTTTTTCTTGTGGTTTCTGTTTTGCAATTTGATAAATTTGATGAAACCACAAATGGAGTGGCTGTACTCTGGTAGTGCTTCGAGTTCAATTTGGATTGTGTTCTCATCTGATGTGAGTCGCTCACTCAGTTTAGGGGCTTCAATTGTTGTTGCTGTCGAATGGTGCTCCTAATGCGTTCTGACGTTCTACTCCTGGTCAATTCGGTAACTCGATCATTTATCGTGTCGTTTTCCATTGGGGGCATTGTTTACATTTTGGCGAGACCTCGGATCGCCACCGCCGCTTTAAGGAAAGTATATTTCTCAAAACCACAAACCCCGTCTAATCGCCAACACCCTGAGTGAATAAAAATAGATAGATTACACCGGCAAATGGTAAACCAGGTCACTTTCGTTACGTCCAATAAATTACAATCATTTGAATAAACGATGCTTCACCACAGAGAAGGGGACGTACGGTAACTGAACCGGAGACATGATGCGGTAAGTTTCCAACGAGAGGAGGCTCGTGGGCAGGCATCAATTACTCCCTTCGGTGACATCTCCTCACTTGTCAACTCAATTATAATCAACGATAGAGTGTGGCGACTGAAGCGACTTCATCCACGCCATTTCTTGAGGTAGCTGAGTTATAAATCGAATCAAATGTACCGTGAAACGGGGTATCTTTGATAATGCGAATAGTAATGAATAAATTTACTCTCTGTATTATTTTCGGATTGAAAACACTGGTCTCATTTTGTAGCTTATGGTTATACTTTTGATATCGTATGGAGTTTTTGTACTGTATGTTTCACATTCTTTTCAAATACTAAAAAAAAACAATTTTCTTATTTGAAAAGGCACTCAAACAATCACAAAAATTCAATATTGTCTTTGTTATGGCTTAAATATTTATGATTATATACTCATTCAAAGGTAAATATTTCTTGAACTAAATTGTTTGAGATTCACACCCGTTTTTCTACATTCATCAAGTATTATCAAAGCAAAAAAAAACTGACGTTCGGTTACAAGGCAAAACAATTGTGCAAATGCAAAGATTTTCGTTAAACATATTATTCTCGAATTCACTCTAGGATCCTCAGTACCGGTGAACTATCAAAGCTACCCCGCTTTACGGTACTTAGAATTTTTAAAAAGTAGGACTTTCTGATCTCACATTGTTCGAACTACTTTAGGTCTTCATCGTAGGAAAATTGTGTCTTTCTCCAGCCAACGGGAAATCCCTTTAACTCGACAGTCAATTACTGTCACCCGAAGTCGATCATCTCCGGGCGGCACTAACACATTGTGACATGAAGATGTGTCTCCACGCAGCGCATCACGCTCTAGGGGAAAAGTGGCCAATTTTCTCCATACGCTCAACGCGCGAGACAGCGAAAAATCCTGTAATTTACGACTATTACCATCGCTATTACCATAAAATTGACACCGTTCCTACGAATGAGAGCCAATCCGTGAACTAATTGGTCGGAAGCGAACATGAACTTGATCTGAACCTGTAATGGGGACCCATCGTTCGTCTATCGCTCCTCACACCACTGGCAGGGCGGACACCTTAGTTCCCCACCCAGCTGCAACCCGGTCCGTGAACATGAACCGTGTAATTATGCTCTGCACATTTTCCCCGTCCCCCCCCCTTGGAACCGCCAAGATCGGCGCTGAGCTGCTACCCTCCGAGTGTCATTAGCCCCGCATTCCATCGCGAGTCGTGCACGAGCGCGGGGTGAAATAATTGTTTCTAAATAAGTGATTATTTATGCAAATCGCTAAGCAGAAAGACTGTCACCATTGGTTTTTTTTCTTTTCTTGAGACTCACCTGCAATCTGCAGCGTCGCGTTTCGGCTCTGCACCGTTCCGGCCGCGTTGCTCGCCACACACCAGTACACTCCGCCGTCCTGTTCCTTCTTGCTGTGTACCGTCCGGAGGAAGAACAGCGACCCGGAGGGAAGCAGGACGTGGTTCGGAGTAAATTTGACCGGTTCACTATCCTTGAACCAGCGGATCTCCGGTTCCGGTTTGCCTTCCGCCTTGCAGTTGAGGGTGACGGGATCGTTTTTCGGCACCAGCACGTCGCTGGGATGTTCCGTTATCCGGGGCGTCCGGAGTTGAGCTGAAATGGGGGGGTGGGAGAGAGTGGAAAATCAAACGTTAGTTTCTGACAAGGCAAATCGCACTAATGGTTAGGGTTATGCCTATGTGGGATGAGAAGATTATGTCAGGCGAATATGCAAATTAATAATCAGGTTGAGTCATGCTCCTCTGCTGGTGTGTATGAGATGTGCATTTCCCAACAACACAGCACCGGGCACAGATAGTGTTATGTGAGTGAGGAGACAGCTTTGGCTTTCACTGAACTGGGTGCTGCCAATTGCCAACCGACGAACGACGACGGCTGTGAAATTGAAGATAACGTATTTAAGGCACCTGGAGGCTCAGATCGACTCCAAAGGTCTGCTGGTGCTTCTATCTTCTACGGGATAGCTGTCATTAGGTTTTTCCTGGAATAGGATGAAAATCCCTATCATCGGAGGAGAAGTGAAATAATACTAACAAGGCTTTTCCGTTTCAGAAGCTCAGCGATAATATGCCTCTTTCTGAGAGTGCAGAGATCAAACGTTGAGCGAATTAAGATGTATTATTTGTGATGCTGGATTCTGTGAGGGATTCTATGACTTCCAGGTGTTGAATTTCTTTAGACACTAAAAACCCTACAGGGTCGACAAGAATTCCTCTTCCGTTTATTTGAACGAACTATTTTGCACATTAACGGGGCTCATTTTGAATTTGAACCCAACCAGAATTTGCCATGTTTTGCAACAGAACAGATTCTGTAATGTGGTCACCGGAAGGTTCTTACAATATTTTTATAATGTTTTTGTTTGCTTAAATTTCGAACAAAGTTTTTTTCCCCAAATGCATTGCACCTTAAAAATCATCTCGTGAAGATTTTATACAAAAAAATGCATTGGAAAAACTTGCTTGTACCAAAAATCAATACGAAACTATCGATTTTAAATTGGCTCCTCCCAAGCAAATCGATTAACGTATCCCATTGTAGTTAAAATTCTAGTACTACACTATGTTTGTTTTGATTCACTATGAATGTTTGACAGATAAAAGGAGGGGTTCGTGGATTGTCATATGTTTCGAGGGGTGCATCGATTAGCTTGGGACCGAAGATAGTACCAGAGCTGAGCCAAAAAGTTGAGCACGTTTCTTCGGGTCCTTCTGGTCTTAGAGTTACCTCTATGCTTGTACGCTGCAGAGCACTGTAAGAACTGCTATTACATTAAATTTGATATATATACCTTTTTGTAACTAGACCTGTGCGCCACCGCGCCACGCCGCCGACGAAATTGAGTCGGCGCGCCGCCGCCGAATAAATTTATGTCACGCTGATGAAAAATCCGATTGACCCATGTGGGTAGATTCTACCCAAATTTGGGTAGTTTTGAAATAGCGTATGCATCTTGAACGCGTTGAAATTAGAACTTGTGTTCACGCTCGTTCGTAGCTACTTAAAATTTAGTGAAATCAACTCAATTTAATTAAAACCAGATCTACTCTCAATTGAGTAACATAGCCAGGATTGAATTTTGAGTAAAACGGCTAGGTATTTGTTGACGAGTTATTTCTACTCATTCCCATAAGATCCAAAATATAGGGAAATGAGTCAAAAAATACACAAATGGACAAACATTTCGGTTTTTTTTTGTTTTTTTTTTCTTTAGGATTAGAAAACCAAAAACTGAAAATCATTTTATTCAAGCATTTTATTTTATAGCAACCACGGTGACTGCAATTTGCTCCATTTTCTAATGATTTCTTTCGAAATTTTTAAATGTTCTTCTACGACGGAAAGGCAAATTCCGTATTTTTACATTATCACAACGCCGTTTTTTTGAGTCAACAAATGGGCTGAAAACTAAAAATTGAGATCCACCTTTATTTATTTATTGCTTGTGAATGTTAATCAAACTCACAAATCACAACTGCTCAAGATTTGATGTTTCAAAAGAAGTTATGAAAATGAGTACGTCTGACTAATTTTTGAGTAACCTTAAGGCCGTTCGCAATGCTGTTGTATTTTATAAGGACATTTTCAATTTGATACTAGAACAGAAACGCACCTCTCGCAATGCTGAGTTGAAGTTTCATAATTCGAGCACTATTTTGCACCAGATTTGCAACTGCTCGATTATTCTGTTTTATTTCTGAGCGAGTTTGAAGCACGAATGGAACTCTGTTTCAAATTTCTTTGGATGTGTTTAAAGATGTTTCGAAGAGCTTCACAAACAAAAACCGGGGAATTTTATATAGAACAGTAAAGTTTATGGAACTTGATGATTACAAACATCTTTTAGAACTGAGCGTTGCGCTGATCGTGTTGCAGTTTTATTTTTGACAGTTTCAAATTATAGAATATTCGAGTAGTTTAAAACAGTTTTGATACTCAGCATTGCGTGTATGAGGCAGCGATTGTCATTTATGGCGATAAGCTCCAAACCGGATTAACTTTTAATACCGTCCCAGTCTGAATGATCTGCTAAATGTTTGCTTAAAGTCGTGTCCATGTCGACATCAAAGCAGCCGGATATTCTTGATCGAGATTTAATCCGAGGATAATACCAGTTGAAGCTTACCACTTGTTGTGTTTTGACGTTTGTTCGCACTTTCTCTAGGAGAGGAGGTTTTGGTGATCATTTTTGTCTGTTGCATTTTTTTTTCGAGAATAGCCTTTATCCACAGTTCACGTGGTGCTCGCTGTTGCTGTCCATCCACTAGATGGACGTCAAGACAGCTTTCCTACACGGAGAACTAAAAGAGTATCTCTATATGGAGGTTCCAGAAGGCGTGAAATCGAAATCTGGCAGCGTGTGCAAGCTACAGAGGTCACTGTACGGTTTGAAACAGGCCCCACGGTGCTGGAACGAACGTTTCAACTCAACGCTTCTGAAACTGGGATTTCATCGATCCATATATGATTACTGCCTCTGTTTTTTTTAAAGTGAAAATGATGAAATCTACCTGGTGCTTTACGTGGATGATCTATTAATAGTTGGAATAAACCTTAGAATAGTTGAAGCACTGAAGCACCGTCTTTCCGAAGAATTCAGTATGACCGATTGCGGTGAAGGAAAGTTCTTCTTGGGAATACGACTCAACAACGACCCGGATTAAGGTGCACTGATGCTGTCACAAGAAGCTACTGCCATCAATATTGTTGGAATGTTGGACTGCAATTTCACCAAAATCCCAATGGAGAAAGGACTTCAGCAGTTTAATTCTGAGGATTGTTCCAAAATATTTGTTGGGTAAATTTCATGGATGTTTTGTGGATAATTCCAAGTGAATTCCAAACAGAAATCCGAGGAGAATCCTAAAAGAATACTATTGAAATCGAAGTGCGAGGGTTCCATTCTTAATAATTTCAGATAAGAGTTTCAAGGAAATTACAAGGGCATACCAAAGATGAATACTAAGATGAAACAGTCGGAAGAAAAACTTTCGATTTTTGTGTCCTCTTTCACGGTCCCTTTCATCCAAAGAATACCTCCCGTATTCAAAGTAATTTTGTGATTTTGCTGCCCCCTCGGTAGAGATGAAATTTTGCGCTCATTTTGATCAAAACAATCACACCAAAATCAGAGATGTCCCATTTTTTAACTACTCGATTAACAACTAATCGATTATTTTTTGTTCCCTGTGCTGCCATTTTTCCACCAATGAGAGTGAAGCACATGTTTGAACGATCGGTGATGATCCTCTGGAGATGTTGGCATGATATAACCGATTACAAATGTTTTACTCGTTAATCGATTAATCGATTATTCGAATGGAAATCGGCCATCACCAGATGAATCTGAAACGTCATTTCAAATATAAGGACCGTACATAAATAATGATACAATTTGAAAGGGACCAGGACTAATCACAAATTACTTCCCCAACGGTAACTGAAATAAACACGAGTGTTCACCGGTTGGGCATAACAAGATGCATTTATAAGGAAATGCAATTCTAAAGAAATATAAAAAGAAATCAGTGGAGAATTTTTAGATAGTTCTTTGCAGAACTTCAAGACATTTCCAATGGATCGCATGGGAATTCTAACAAGAATTCAAAACTGTTTGGAAATGCTATCTAACATGAAGCTTTAGTGTGATAATTTATTAGCTAGAAGAAAGGTCTGAAGAGGGTAGGTGGAATTCAAGCTAATTTCAAAATAATTATCAAGGAAACTTTAGCAAATTCTTGTGATGATCAATTCTAATTTAATCTTAAAACAAACTCCGTGTGTGGAGTTGGAGTGTTATAGGCACACAGTTTCGGGGCAGTTATAATGGAACTTTCAAATGAATATCAGAAGGAATTTCAAATTCATTTTAGGAATTATGAAAAGATTTCTGTAAATGTACAATGACTTCATGAAAACCTTTAGAACATTTCAAAGCAATTCATAAAAGAGTTCTTAGCGAAATGTTATAAATCAGACACTTATAACAAATCTGATTGAGGGTAATAATTATATCAATAAGCGTCAATTTTGTCCAAAATAGCCGCTGAAACTAAAGAGAGAGTCACTTTTACCGAAGAAAACAAATCAAGAAGACTGGCAACTCTTCCATTTTCTCATACGAACGCTATGAGACAGGTACAATCGCGTCATCTGCCGCTCAAAGTTAAATGCTTCGAACGAAATTGATAGCAAAGATTACATCCTCAGAAGAAGGGTTTGTGTATTTGCCCTTTCGTCTATGCGTTGCTTCCACCTTCACTCAAGCGCAGCGCCATTGTATCTGTCGCTTGGATTCTGGCAAAGTTGCCAGTCTTCTTGATTTGTTGTCCTCGCTTTTACTCAATTGTGTGAGAAATTTCTAAAAACGTTCGTTACTCAGCGCTGAGTAATCTACGTTTTTTTTAATTTCTCAAACAACTAAGTAAACGTGACTCTCTCTGAGTTTGTCTTATCGGCCGTGAAGACCGTAACCTTCTATCTAGTAGAGGTCGCAAGTTAAAGCAAGCAATTAGAAATTAAAAAGTACACTATCGCCCCCTGGTGAACAAATCTTTAATTGTGATGTACACCATCCTCTATGTTTTATTCAC